AACCGCCCCCCCCCCCCCCCCCCCCATTTAATCTCTATCTTCTGAATTCATCTGCTAATTTCAGAATACACAGTTGCAAAGTTGTGACTGTGTCAAAGACTTGTGTGTCTCCAGAGCAAATCCACTCTGGATTTAAGCTTTTTGATGATACATTCTACTGCTTAGCTTTACTCAAGTGATAGCTCTGGAAGCACTGCTAGCACTTCTGAAGCTTGCTTATTTGCCTGAAAAAGTCGGTTTAATAACATGATTCTCTTAGTACTCCAGCCTCCTGGCCTAACGCAGCAAAGCAATGCAGTTCTTAGTTTCTGGGCCAGACTCTTGTATATGATCTATACAACTTATTGAGAAGATGAGGTGTTTCTGACCGGGATCAGAAAACATGAAGGTGAGACCCTCTCTCTCCCCACCCATGAAGGGAAATGAGCAGAGCTCACTTCCTTCCACAATGGCCCAGCTCAGAGAAGATCATGTCTGTGCCCTTACACAAACATATCTTGGGTGATTAGTTGAACACCTCCTTCAGGGCCTTAGGAAGAGACAGTAGACACCTCATATACATGCGTTAGCCTTGGACTGACTCCTTCCCCTAGTTTCTGAAATCCCACTGGGTTCAGATGTAAGTGAAGCACAGAGCAACTGGGTCAAGTCTTTGCATGAGCAAAGATGAAACCTTGGTGTGTGCGGATGTATTGAAAGTAAAAAATGAAAGACTAAGAGAGCTCATTAGGCTTTTAAGTTCCTCCTAAGTCTTGGTTTTGTCTGACTAAATCCTTTATTGACAGACTCTGACTGAAAACCTCAGTGCTGGGCAGCTATCCTTCCCATTTAACCTTATGTCACTTGTGTCACTTGCAACAACAGAAGGTGAAATAATTAGGTCATTTTTTAAACGTGAACTTTTGCTTTCCGAGCTGACTGCTCCTTCAAAGCTAAGTGTCCTCCTGACACCCCTCCTTGATACAGCACCTAATAGCTTAGCATGATGTCTTACCTCCACCCTCCTCACTTTTTAACATGCTGGCTGAGCGTGCCAGCAATTTAAACCTCCGCTCTCCATCGGCAAGTCAGGATGGCTTTGGTGAACAGTCTATTTCTTCTGATTATTCCTTGCCATTGTGAGGGATGATGGCTGAGGACCAGCGACTTTCCCCGCACAAATGGTCCAAACATACTCTCCTTGCAGATTACAGCGGAATCACTAATGCAATTTTGACCTGACTTTGATGCAGCACTCTATTGATGTGGGGTGACGCCGCAGCAAAGCAACAAGGTTAGATCTCAGCAGTGATTAAGCTGGAGTTCCTGAAAGGACGCCTACCTCCCGTGTGCGCACGGATGGGCACAGCGCGAGGTGCCGGCTCAGAGCTCGCTCCGGCTGCCTGCGCACAGAGCGCAAGGGGAAGGGAAGATGCTTTTCAAACTCTGCTTTCCCATACCCCTCCTCTGGAAGATAATCATAGAATCATAGAATGGTTCGGGTTGGAAGGGACCTCAAAGATCATCTAGTTTCAACCCCCCTGCCATGGGCAGGGGCACCTCCCACTAGAGCAGGTTGCTCTAATCCCAGCCTGTTCAGCTGCTGAGCATTTGGGTAATCAATCAATTGTGAAATCTGGTGTTGTCAAGCATCAGCTGGGAGTGGTTTGCACCCCTCAGGTGTGGGTCTGGTCTGTTCCGCAACCCCAGGGGCTACCTTTCTTTTTGGGCTGGGGGGCATGAACGAGAGCTGCCCCCCACTCTGCTCCTGGGGCCACCTCCACTCACATTTTAGGAGGTCTAGGCAGGGACGCTCTAAACCAGCAGTGACAGGAGAGCAGAACAAGCACCAGCCCCATCTGAGGCTCCATCCCCACTCCCTGGGGGTGAGGCTGAGCCCCGGGAGTGGGGCTGAGGCTTGTCGGGCTGCGTCGGCGCTGTATGTGCCAGGACATATATGTATATTTCATGTGTGTGTATATAAGATATCTATTTGTAAGCAAACAAAAAACTGAGCTGGGGGCTCTTTAAAATGTTCCAGCCACAGCTGTACTCAAAGGAGGGGGAAAGGAAAAAAAAAGAGAGGAAAAAAAGAGATTTTTTTTTTTTTTTTTTCCTCCAGGCATCTGATTTACTCCGTGACTCTGATGCTTATCAACAACGCGTGAAGATTGCAATAAGGATCCACCCTGGAAGGCGAGGAGGAGTGACTTCCAGGGGGCTGGGAGGAGGAGGTGGAGTGCAGCGCGGCTCTCGCCTATAAGGAGGTGCCCAGCGCCCGGCTGCTGCTTCCCCGCCGCAGCTCGCAAGGTGAATTTCCGCGGCAGCAGCCGGGGGAGCGGGCTCGGCTCGGGCGCTGCCGCCGGCGTTTGGAGCGGAGGAGGGTCCCCCCGACCGCCCCCGGCTCCGGGTCCCCCTTCCCCCGGAGTGCCTGGATGCCGGATGGAGTAAATGAGCGGAGGAAGAGGGAGCGCACAGAGGCTGAGAGGCGCTCGGAGACCGGGACCGGAGGAGACGGGCGGGCGGCTGGCTTCCCCCTCCGGGGCTGAACATGGATTCCCGAGCCCTCGGGGGCTTCGCTCTGCTGCTCTTCAATTTTTGGCACCTGGGATTAACCGCAACAAATTGTGAGTAGCGGGAGCTCAAGGAGTTGCCCGGGG